AAGGAGGAGAGAGGGAGAGAGGGAGGGAGGAAGGAAGGAGGGAGGGAGGAAGGAAGGAAGGAAGAAGGAAGGAGGAGGGAGGGAGGGAGGGAGGAAGGAAAGACACGAGAGAGACAGAGACTAGTCCAAAAATCTCTCCTTGAATTCTATGGTGGATTGGGTGCCCAGAATCTGGGATTCATAGAATCATAGGACTGGAAGAGACCTTGGAGATCTTCTAGTCCCACCCCCTGTCCAAAGTAGGAGTCCTCAAAACTCTATCTTAAGCACAAACATCACACATGCTTATTTTCGTACCCGGCTAAGCGATCGGAAAGCAAGAAGTGCTGTTGAATATTTTCAACTAAAGATCCGCGCAGTTCCTCCACGGCCTTGAAAACACGCTTGAAATTGTCAAACTGAAACAGAAGGAAAAAAAACAACAACAACACCGGACATGAACGCGGGAGGCCAACCAAGTTTGTCTGCAGTTGCAAAAAAAAAAAAATCAGGACTGCAGGGTTGCGCCTTGTCTGACCAATTTTATTTTTACACTTATTTGTATCCCGCCTTTATTATTTTGAGAACTGACTCAAGGTGGCGAAGATATCAAATACTTCTTCCTCCTCCTCTAATTTTCCTCACGACGACAACCCTGTGAGGTGGGCTGGGCTCAGAGAGAATGACTGGCTCAAAATCACCCAATCAGCTTTCATGCCTAAAGCAGGACTAGAACTCACCGTCTCCTGGTGATTGGCACAAAGTCACCCAATCAACTTTCATGGCTAAGGCGGGACTAGAACTCACCGTCTCCTGGTGATTGGCACAAAGTCACCCAATCAACTTTCATGGCTAAGGCGGGACTAGAACTCACCGTCTCCTGGTGATTGGCACAAAGTCACCCAATCAACTTTCATGCCTAAGGCGGGACTAGAACTCACCGTCTCCTGGTGATTGGCACAAAGTCACCCAATCAACTTTCATGGCTAAGGCGGGACTAGAATTCACCGTCTCCTGGTGATTGGCACAAAGTCACCCAATCAACGTTCATGCCTAAAGCAGGACTAGAATTCACTGTCTCCTGGTGATTGGCACAAAATCACCCAATCAGCTTTCATGCCTAAGGCGGGACTAGAACTCACCGTCTCCTGGTGATTGGCACAAAGTCACCCAATCAACTTTCATGCCTAAGGCGGGACTAGAACTAGTCCCAGCTTAGACATGAAATTCAGCTGGGTGGCTTTGGGCCAGTCACTTTCTCTCAGGCCAATGCACCTCAGCGGATTATTTTGGGAAAATAGGAGGAGAAAGGCCTATTACATATATGTTCGCTGCCTTGTTATTTTTAAACATAAAGGCAGGACACAAACAAGCAAATATTCTCCATCACGAAGTATCTGGAGAACATATTTTCCTTTCATTCCACAAAAAAGCTGGTCCTGGGAATTCAGGTCCAAACTTACCTGTCGGCGGCAGCTTTTCAGGGTCACCCCAGTTTTGGCACTGATATCATCCAGATCTTTCTTGGTTCCTTTTGATAGTTTTTTACCCAGGACCTCACGGACAAAGGCGTCATTGAAGGCGTAGTACCTGGAAATTAGACGAATAAGAGCAGGAACAAATAATTACCGTCATTTATCGAATTGCTTCTGTCCAAATAAACAAAGAAGTAGACTCCTAAGGCTGGGAGGGACCTTGGAGGTCTTCTAGTCCAACCCCCTACTCAGGCAGGAAACCCTATACCATTTCAGACAAATGGCTGTCCAGTCTCTTCTTAAAAACTTCCAGTGTTGGAGCATTCACAGCTTCTGGAGGCAGGTAGTTCCACTGGTTAATTGTTCTAACTGTCAGGAAGTTTCTTCTTAGTTCCAGGTTGCTTCTCTCCTTGATTAGTTTGCATCCATTGCTTCTTGTCCTGCGTTCGGCGCTTTGAAGAATAAGTGGACCCCCTTTTCTTTGTGGCAGCACCTCAAATATTGGAAGACTGCTATCATGTCTCCCCTAGTCCTTCTCATCATTAGGCTAAACGTATCCAGTTCCCTTAGGCATTCATTGTACAATTTATCCTTCAGATCCCTGACATTATCACGTAAATAGTGATTTTCTCAAACCTGAGATACTGTATGTACTATATAACCTGGAGTCCGTAATAGACTTGATTCCAAAGTCAGATTAATTCAGAGAAGTTTCTGTGGCCCCAGAACAAGAAAACCTGTCTGTGAACTTCATAGAACATCGAATCGTAAGATTGTAAGCAACCTTAGAGGTCTTCTAGTCCAACCCCCTGTTCAAGTAGGAGACTTTATAGTATTCCAGACAAATGGCTGTCCAGTCCTTTCTTGAAAACCTCAAATGACTCCCTGGACTGGATACGCATACAGTACTTTTCTAAACAATTGAGTTGCCACAATCCTCCTAAGTCAGGGGACTTCAAACGTGGCCCTTTTATGACTTGTGGACTTCAACTCCCAAAATTCCTCAGCCAAGCATGCGTGCCTGGCTGAGGAATTCTGGGAGTTGAAGTCCCCAAGTCATCAAAGGGCCTAGTCTGAAGACCCCTGTCCTAAGCGACTGTGTTGCACAAACCCAACCCAGATGCCATTTTCTCAATTCTCCCGTTGGCTGGCCCACCTCTCAATCAGCATGGTCTGTCGGCAAGGCGGGATCTGGAAAAGCAGCTGGTTCAGCAACTTGGGGGGCGAATGGAGGAGACGCTCCAGCATGTAGAAAGTGCGGTAATGGTCCATGGTGTCACTCTGGAGGACGTCAACCGTGGCTCCGGTCTGCTCCAGGATGCCAGAGCGCAGGCGGAGAGAGACGGCATCGTCCACTGGGGAAAAACCGAAGAGGGGAAAGTTTGTCTCAAGAAGTGAGTTTCACACCAGGGGAAGATTTGCAGACTGCAAATATTTGTGGACTGCCTGGCTTTAAGGCTACTGTAACCAATCAAAGCTAAGAAAAAGCATGCACAGACCCACAGTTAAACACATGCATGCATCCAGTTAATGTCCTCCCAGGTTGCCAGGACTGGGACTTTAGAGACCATCTACTCCAG